TAGTAAAAAATTAGAAGATTATTGGGAAAAATAATGCCGATTTAAATAGAAATTAAAATTTCCAGTGGATACTTAATAACTTAATAAAAATAAATCTAATAAAAATTGTTTGATTTCATTATGTGAAGAATAATTAAATAATGAATGATTTAATAATTAATATATTTTTTAATATCTAATTGAATATATTTTTTTTTGGCCATAAAAAAAAAATAAGAATATGGGATATATTTATATTTTATGTTTTGATGTAGAAAATGTATCTATAGACAGAAGAATAATAATAAAAAAAAATTAAATGAAAAATTTTTAGGAATTTATATGAAATATACTAACTATTCATATAAAAATAAATAAAAATAAATTTTTAATTTCTTTATTTTTTTTTATAAGGCAAAATAGTATAAATTTATTATTTTATAAATTAGTATAAGTTCAGATTATAATATGACTTATTGTTTTAAGAGAAATAAATTATGAAATTGTATTAAAATAATTAAATAATAATAGAAAGATTTTATTAATATGAAAGTGTGATAAATAATATCAAATATAATAAAACAATTAGACGAACAATTTATTTTATTTTGCAATAATCATATATGTAAATTATATATTCTGTCACACAAAATATAATATAATGATAGATTCATAATTAGCATGGTAAATATTTCTATAATTTCTATAAATTTGCCTTTAAAATTTTAATTATATTACTATCAGTCGAATATATTTCTGATTTATCATTTTTCTTATCACATAATTAAAAATATGAATATTTTTATTAATATACTTAAATAATATGTAGTATATTATTATAATATAACTCTTTTATTTTTTTAAAAATCATAAAATAAATTAAAGTAAATTTTATTTTAATAAACTGTCTAAAATCATTTTAAATAACTGTGTCTAGAAATATTTTATTACAAAAGTGAAAACATAAAATATTAATTAAATAAGAAAAAAATAATTATGAACAACGATTTGTTATAGAAGAATATTTTATATATCATATTGTGAAATACAATTATTCAAAACTATTAACTTATTACTAGATTAATTAAATCAAGATTTTGATATTCATATTTAAAGCCTATCTTATATTAATAAAATCTTTTCTTCTACTGATAAATTAGAGATCATATAGATTTTAAAGATAATTTCTTATATTAAAAATTAATTTAGATATATAGAATTTAAAAAGATAGAAAATTCATAATCAGAAATATTTAAATCAATTTTAATGATTTTGAAATATGTTCTTTATGATATGATTTTGAACAACTTTATCTTTTATGTATATAGATGTAATATGTATATTCATGAGACAATTTTAAAATATCAATTTAAAGTACAAAATAAATACAAAAATTTAATATATATATAATAATATATATATTTAATGTATAAAAATATTAAAATTTATTATTTTATAATAATTTAAGTTATAAAAAGCGAAAAGAGAGCAAAATGCAATAGCGATGTAACGGAAACAGAGCAGTTTCACTTTTTTTTTTCATTTCACTAATATAAATTTGAATTGTTCAATTATAATTTAATAAATAAATCTTAACTAATATTTTTGTATATCAACTTTTTGTATTTGTATTTGTTTTAGCCTTTAAAATCAATTTTTCAATATTAATTTCTTTAGAAGAAACAAAATTTTGTTATAATATAAAAAAATAAAAACATAAATTGATTAAACATATATATATACATTTACATATATAACAATAATACGTATATAATGTATTATCTTCATCATATACTTTTTTTACATTATTTTCATCAATCATTATCATCAATTTTGATATTTAAAAAATTATTTATATTTTATAGTGTTTATATAATTATAGTGTATTATTTACATTTTATTATTTACAACTATAGTAATATATTGATTTAATTTAAAACATAATATAAATACTATATATGATTTATTCAATATTTTCAATTCACCATATATTATAATTTATTTTATTAATTTATACACCTATTTAAAATCATTTACAAACTTAATAATATAATATTAATTTCAGATATAATTGCAATACTTAACAATTTTTAAAAAGTGTACAAAATGATAAAATAATATCTTTTTTTGCGATGACTATAATTTATAATTACATTTTAGTAAAAAAGAAAAATAGAAATTAAATATAAACTGTGATGATAAGAAGAAATATTTCATTAAAATTATATAAATAAATAAGATATATTTAATAAAATAGATATATTTACTTTAATCATATCATTAATGATATGATTACTATTATGATAACTATATGAATAATAATGATGAAAATTACAATAATGGATTTCAATGTGACAACATTAACAGGTTGATATAGATTTTTCTTGTGCAGTAGAAAACATGAGTTTTTAAATGCCTAGAAAAATAAAGATATAGGTAGAAAAGAAAAAATATGAAAAAGAAAAAAAAAATAAGCATGTAAAAAAAATTGAAATTAAGAAGAAAAAGATTGTGGAAAAAAAAGCGAAAAGATTTAACTATATCTGATTAGCAATTAATAATCGAATCTAAATGAAATTTTATAAACAAAAATAAAGTTAAAGCTGGAGAAAATAAATAGAACAAAAATTATTAGAAGAAATAAAAATAAAGAAATAGAAAATTTGTGTGGATTTAATTACAGAATCCTGAATTACAAGAAATTCTTTAAAAATGACATAAATTTGGTGACAATTTTATAGTTGTCCATACCATAATATATATTCGAAATCATTATGTTTTGAAATTGATATTCACAATTCACTCAATAATTTTGTTTTAAAAATATTTAAATTTTTTAAATTCTATTTATTGTTTGAAGCAATAAAAAAAGATGATATTAAAACAAAACACCTGGTTAAAATATACCGAAATTAAAAGTTGTCTGCAAATGATTGTGAAATTCTGACGATATTTCAAGTGATGAAATTGTCAAGATAAAAATGCTCACTCAAAATAAATCTGATATTTCAGATTAATTGATTGATAATACGATTTTTGAATAATGATCTGATAGAAATGATTATTGGTGTCGTGTGCAATTGAAACGTTTAAATATAGAGATAGATATGCTGACAATATAAACTTCTTTCGTGAAGGCATAGGGTAAGATCACTTATTCTATTTTTTGTTCATTAAGTAATAATTGATATGTTAGCCTCAATTCAATTTTTTTTTATTATTGATATTTTATTTTAGTTTAATACTTAAATTTGTTTTATTTATTTTAAATTTAATAATAATTAAATTTATATTATTATAATTTCAATATCTTATTTAAACTATAATGAAATCTTTTTATTTTATTATTATTTAATTATATAATTAATAATAATAATAATAATAATAATAATAATAATAATAATAATAATAATAATAATAATAATAATAATAATAATAATAATA